AAAGAAAAGAAAAGAAAAGAAAAGAAAAGAAAAGAAAAGAAAAGAAAAGAAAAGAAAAGAGAAAACCCTGAAGAAACTGAGGACTCGGAATCTTTTGCAGCCTCTTGACAAGGACTCAATAAGGAAAGGATAGAGCCAGAGACAAACCAGCCGCAGCCTCTCTGCCGTTCCTCACCTCTCCCTAATGCCGCCTGTGCCCCTCTGCCACAAGCAGAGGTCACCCTGATGTAGGAAGCTCTCCGAGTTGGTGAATTTCCAGTACGGGTTTTGGGCAGGTTCATTTTTAATTTTTATTTTTTTTCATCTTAGCTAGTTGATTTCTAAAGGGTCTTGAGAGAAAACCTTGTGGCCACCAGCACTCCCCTTGCAGTCCTCCGGAGTGTCCTCCCCACACTGTTGGGATTCACTCAAGTTGATTTGATTTCCATCTCAAATGACTGCCCCCCAGTCCAGGCAGATTTCAACACATCAGGAGGAGGCGTGAGATTGCTGGCTTCGTGTCTGGAGATGAGCTGGGGAGGGAAACGCAGGTCCTGCAACGGCACAAATACCCCCAAAAAGTATTTGTGGACTTCAAAAAAAATCATCCAAAAAGGAAATATATTCTGTTCTTCTCAAATGGAAGGTCAGAAATCATTTTGGACAAGCAGGACTCTGACCGTTGTCCATCTAGGTGTGGAAGCGTTTGTCACCTGCGTGCATGTGTATGAGTGTGTGTGTGCATTGACATGGCTTTTCCTCCTTGCAAAACTTCATCTTGAAACCTGCAATCTGGAGGTTTCAGTGTAATATGTAATCAGGGGGAGAAATGCTGCCCCTCCCAAAACCTAATAATAACCTGCTGGACTAAGCACAGGAGCAGAGTTACGGAGGACCATCAGTGCCTGTGGGATCAGGGCCCCATCAACATTGAGGGCTGCATCCCAGCCGACCCTGCTGTTACTCTGTCGCTGTCCAGACTGAAGTATCCCTACATGGGGACAGGGAGATCTGGGCTAAAACTCTTCACCACGCTTTGCCACCACAAAGATGACTATGGAGACTTTTTTTTTTCCCACAGCCAAAAATGTGGTTTGCTCCAGGGGAAAAAAACCAACCAAACCTCCATTTTATTTGATCATGGTTTTTTGTTAAGGCTGGTTTATACCTTTCCCTATGGGTAGGAAAATGCCAGTCTACATCCTTTCACTTTGAGGATACTGCTCATGTTGCCATGGTTGATTCCCACCACCCTGCAGTAAGATCCTATGATGGGCCCTTGCCTTTAATCTGGGACCCAGCTCCTTGTTGAGTGACAGCAGCCACCACACCACGGAGACCCACTGCCTCAGGCATGGTGGGACAGCCCTCATCTGCCTTCCTGACTTATTTGGTGGTTTTAACTTTTACATTCAATTTTGGAACTGTTGCCTCTTGCTTCTCCATGACAAGGGTCTCCACGATGCTGGTGCTGGGAGGAGATCCTGCAGCGAAGGGAAGGAAGGAAGGAAAGGTGGGGTCTGGGTGCTGTGGTCCCAGTGGGCAAACACACACCCACCAGGAACCACATCCCACTGCCACAGCTGGAGCTGGCCAAAGGACACAACTGATCTCAGGGGGAAGGTTCCTGCACCCCCAAAGCCCCTTTGAGGTTCCTGAACCTGGGCAGAGAAAAAAGGAGGTCCACAGCACCATCGAGTTCCCACCAGTGGGGATGGACAAGGGTGATTCAGTGCCAAGGGGTTCTGGTGAAGGCTTCTTACCACCACAGGTTGGGAGCCCTCATAGCCTCCCATGACATGTCATCATTCCCCTAAGCAGCCCCGGAGCCCCCCACCAGGACACTTGCCCCAGTCAAGGGCAGAACTGGACACCTGTGGTTATTTCCCTCAAAGTTACAATGGGGGAGAATTTTGCCGATGGACTTCCACAGAGACCCAATGGAGCATGTTTGGACCTGGGGACAATGGTCTTTCCCTTGCTTAAAAGAACAAAGTGTGTCACCAAATGCAGATCTGCCCCCCAGAAAAGCCTGCTGGAGCGGGGTAACTGCCGTGTTGCTGGAGGGGAGAATGGCGGGTGTTGTGGCCGAGGCAGGGAGGGACCTCTCTGGGCTCTGCAGGGCTGATGGAGTAAGGTTGATTTAACGAGGGTGGTGGGTTAATGGTGGGGTGAAAGTGGGGTGAAGACAGGAGGAGGAGGAGGAGGAGGAGCTTGTGCCAACCACAAGGGCCCCTGTTGCTTGCTGATCCCCGTGCAAAACTTCCTGACTGTTACAGGCCAGTACCACCTTCACAGGACCCTTCTTTCCTTCTCTCTTCCTCTTGCTTGCTTTTTTGTTTGTTTGTTTTGTTGTTTAATTTCCCAAAACTTGAAAGCCTTTGGCTGCAGAGAAAGGAGACGTGCCACCAGGGTGGGATGGGAACAGGCAGAGGGATGCTGCTTCCCATGGATCTTGTCTTTTGGGGAAGATGCTTTTGCAGGGCGAGGGTCAGCTCACAGGGCCTCATGGTGGTGACATGACAAGGCCACTACAATGACACTGGGAGGGGGACACAGGATGATTCCCCGACCTCTCCCTACAAAGCAAGTCCACATGGCCCCAGGAGCCCACAGCACCAAAATCCATCCCACGCAGCCTCCCTCACCCCTGTGCATCCCATGCCGGGACAGCACTGCCTGTCCTGTCCACACCAACCTGGAGGGAGGAGGATGGAAGTCTGGGCTGCACCACTCCTGCCTCCCCAGATCACCTTGGCTCCTGGGATGGGGCACCAAGCGACTCCCCTGGCTGCCCGCTCCCTCAAGGATCCCCAGCAGGACGAGGCTGTTTGTAGGCTGCACTAATATTTAGGACTGGGGTTGGAGTCTGGGTCAGGTTGGGGATATAAGTGACTTCAGAAGGGGTTGGTCACCCCCTGGGTTGGCAGTGACGAGGTGCTCCCATTCTCAGCACCCAGCAGCACCCTTTGGCATTTAGGGTGAGAAAACCAAAAGGGGTAGATTTGGGGGCTGGGGAGTGTGGGGAGTTGAGGCACATGGGGAGATGTTGGCAATTTGTGCATGAGGGGGAGGTGTGAGGCTCAGGGGTCTCCAGCTACAGTATCTGAGCCAAGCCCACGCCAGTATCTAGGATGCGAGCTGAGAAGGAGAGGACAAGGATGGCACAGGGGTCAGGACAGCCCTTCCACCACGTCTGCCCACGAAGTGGCGCTCAGCAGCTGGGCTACCCCTTGTCTGTACTGCAGTGGACTTCGAAAACCACTAGTACAAGAGCATTTTGCACTATTTCTCCGCTCTCTCCCCCCTTCCCTTTTTCTCCGCCTTCCCCATGAAAACTTTTTTGCTGTTGGTTTGGGTTTTTTTGTTGTTGTTGATTTTTTTTTCCCCCCAAATGGAGCATTGTATATTTAACGACCAACAGTTCACCTCGCTTCCAGACCCCTGTCCTGGCCCTGGCTAGGAGCCCTGCCTACTGTGCCCCCCTCCCCAGCCCCACCAGCCCCCTGCCACTGCCACCGGGACAGACGTCACCGCTCACGTTACCCACCGTTGTAACACACTTGTTAAAAACACACCAGATTCCGAGTTTCCTGCCTGGTTTTTATCTTTAAGCAATACTCACTACACATTTTACGGTAGCTTTTTATAGCTTTACATACATACGGTAGCTCTGTTGTTTCGTTTTTGTTTTGTTTTTGTTGTTTTGGGTTTTTTTCCAGTAAACAAGAAATACTCATAATCTTACTGGTGGGAAAAAAAAAAAGCAGTTTGTGAAAAACTGACAATGGAAGAAGAGCTTAATGCTCTGTTTAGCATTTTGTACTTAAAAAAAAATCTCACATTTTATTAAAAAGTGAAGATTGCTGTATACTATTTATTCAACTTATAATTTATGTTACTCTTTGATCTTTGTCTTTTCTCATGACAAAGCATTTATTTAATAAAGTTATGCATTCAGTTAGCTTCTGCCTGACCCTTGTGGAGCATCTGTGTGCTGGGGCCTGCCAGTGAGCTGCTCCAGCCCCGAGCATTCCACAGCTGGTGGTGTTGGGCCCTCTGAGGGGCTCATCCAGCTCCATGGGGGTGCCTGGGGAGGTACAAGGCATGGGGCAAAATGGACGCAATGGTTTAGAAGAGCTTCTGATACCAGTATCAAAAGCTAGATGAGCAGTAAAATTGCAGGTTTGAGTTTAGAGCATCATAAAAGCAGAGCTACCCTATTTTTTTCAGAATTTTCTTTGTATGAATGTGGCAGTGGGGCACAGCATGCACATTCAGCAAGTTTACCAGGAGAAAGTACCTGGCAACCAGTGATGTTAAGCTCCTAAATGCTATCGCAAACTGAGCCCCACAGCTTCAGATCAGATGCGATGTTTGAGCCTCAGACCTCACTGGGCCGCTGGAAGATTTATCCCAGTGTGCAGGAGCATCCCTGGGGCAGCCCAGCCAGGCTGTAGTCATCACCTTGTGGTAGCCCTTGGTGGCTCTTCCTACTGCCCCGTGCCCTCCCCAGTGTCAGATCTGACCCTCCCCCACTGCCCACACAGCCCACTCACCCCCTCATCTCCCCCTCCTTCTGTGCCCCTCTTCCCCTCCATTTCAACTGCCCAGCATCATCCTCACGTGCCCAGAGCAGGGTGGGAGGCAAAACTATCCCCTTTGCCCCTGCACTGGGGAGACCGTGGGTTGTCAGGGCTGCACTAACATGCCTCCCCCATCCTATCTGCACTACCTGGTGCTGGCACAGCCCCCCCATCCCTATGGACACCCCACAAGGCTGAGCCTGCACCTCACGGGGCAGGAGCCGCGCGGCGCCGCAGCTGCC